ATTATTCTTGAATTATTTCACAAATCCCCCTTTTTAAAAATTCCTCAGTGAACAGGGAAATACATTCTTCATCTTGACTTGCATTCTTTTGTTACCATCCTTGCCATAATGTAATAAAGCTGCCCTTCATCACAAAAAAAGTAAGGTATTTATTCCTTTATTTAGGGACATTAACGTATTATATATTTTTTTGTACAATGAAACCAATTAGGTATATATGCTGGGCTTCCTGAAACTCTGAAAAAGAGCTTGGAAATTCCTCTCTGCATTTGTTCTTTACAGGAATTTAGTCTACCTCAAATCCTGAGTGGTGACTTAAGGAATAGTCGCTTGCCATTCTGTGTAAATTAGTTTAAAATTACTTTTTAAATGCCCCCCAAATATTGATTTTAGAAGTCCTTGATTTTTCAGAAGCATAATTTACCCTTTTGGAAGTTTCAAATCAATCTCAAAAAATGTAAAATTATTTATTATACATTATAGAAGTCTTATTTATTATACAAAAGATGTCAACATCTGGTGTTTTACTTACTATTAGTTCTAAAACAAAGAAACTAATTTACTCTGATGACTGAGACAGTGATGCCATACAATATCAGCACTCGTCCTTTTTCTTGCAGTCTCTTTAAAGCACTAAATATTTTTTAAAATTAAATAAACTATGAAGGCCTCAAATTTTGATGAGAAATTTAGTGAGAACATTGATCTTTTTTTTGTGCCAAATGGGAGACCTGTTAAAACTGACTCTGACTTTTGAGTGTGAAAGTACTTGGAGTTAGTTTTTAAAAGTTTCATAGGGTAGAAACTAACACAACATTGTAAAGCAACTATACTCCAATAAAAATTTAAAAAAAAAGTTTCATGGGAATTACATCCTCAGTATTTGTATGTTGAGTTAGGCCTCTCTCTTTTCAGATATCCAGTGGTAGCTAGATTACTTCTAACTACTGACCATGATCACCTGGAGCCAAGTGGGATACATTAACTTTTATAAGGCTCCAGGAAACCATTTGTTAGGTTATAATTCATGGGAAGTAAATAACAACCTGAAATATGTAAGAATTATTTCATTTCACATGCACAAGCAGTAGTGTCTCAGGGATGATCATCATTGCTTGGTTCAATATAGGAGCAAGATCTTGTGGAGTAGTCTTGGTCTTGAAGCACCATCCCAATAATTTATTTAAAAAGTGTTACTCTACAAATAGACTTTTATCTAAGTTATGCCAATTATTAGAAGCTCTGTCTAAGGTAGGCCCATCAATCAAGTGTTGAACATTGAGAAAAAAGAGGGCATAAGTGTAAAAGCACTGATAACACCTTAACAGTATAAGCATGAATCTGTGTCATCAGTAACACTGTTAAAAGCACCAATCTATGTAACCAATCTGTTCTTAATTATTTCTTCATAGGATGAGATTTAATAAAAATGGCTTATTCTGTAATAATTCATTTCTCTTGTAAATACTGAAAAGAGAATTTGAAAGCAAACAAGTGGAGAGATATAATCCATAGGTTATGAACTCATTAATTCTGCAAGTAATCATGGAATGCTAATTATATTCCAAGTTTTGTCATAGGTACTGGGAACACCTGTATCATCTATAATCAGTCATTTATTGATACATTTCTAACTATTCCCTTAAATTAGGCTATTTATTTATAGGTAAGATGGTATTCACTCCGTTCCTAAATATTCCCTTAAAGAAAAAAGTAATTCTTACTTTTCTCACTTGGCTAAAAATATCACTTACACATGTAACATCTTGTTTTTCCCCTTAACCATAGATTCAACCAGAAAAGCACCAGGATGCTTGAAACTTCCTATACAGAAAATCCTCCCCAAATAACCTTTTCTATGATGCTTGCAATCACACACACAAAAAATGTTCTTAATTTTCTTCTCCCTGGGCACATTTGAAACTTGTACAAGTGACTATCTTGAAAAGTTGAAAAAAAGAGTATGAAAAACAAAAAACAAAACCTTAGTACTAAACACTCCACTATTAACTTGATCATTGATAGTATAGTTTTACTAATCATCCAGAAAATGAATAATAACCTATTTTAATGCTTTGTCACTGATTTAAGCTGTTCAGTTGTTTTGTTCCCCCTTGGAAGCCTTAATTATCAGAAGTGTATTAAATGTAGCTAAAAATGAAAAGTACAAGATTGAACAACTACCCAGGTGTTTGTGTTTAAATAGAGATTACCTTTCCTTTATATTTTCCCCCTGCTTATATTTATATTTTCCACCTGAATTTACAGAGTTCTTTTGACTGATTTGCAGGGTCCTAACATGTATGTTTTATCTGTACTTAGCCACATTTTAATTAATCCTTTTCTTTATACTGACTAGCTTTTTGAAAACAGTAATAATTTAAATTCTTAAATAATTTCCCAAAATGTATTAAATGTTTATACTTGCGGATTTTTACCTTCTAGAAATCTTTTGCGATTTATTCTGAATCAAAGCATTTGTAAAGGTCTTAACACTGACACTTCAGGTTTACAAATTTAAATGAAAACTGGCAATGGGGGAAAAGGAATAGAGAATACATATGGTAAATAATTACCAATGTAAGTATTTTAAATTTTATTTGAAGTTGCTTCATTTTCATATATCTTAATGATCACAATGATGTAAAGCAAGTAGACTCATAAAATATGAAAAATTATATCCTGTTAGTTTTTTCTTTTGTATTTAAATGAAGAATATATCATTAACTTTTCAAATTTTAGATACATATATATCAATATGATGTGCATTTTTATTTTTCTAGTAGATTTAAGCTTTTACATGCTCTAGATATTTTTTATCAAGCTCCTATAACTCATACTGTTTTTAAGCAAGGATGCTCATCACAGCATTGTTTACAAATGTAGAAACATAGAAAAGCATGTAAATCTCATTCAATAATGAACTACTTAAGGTAAGTTATAGTACATCCACCCAATGGAATACTATGCAGTCACTAATTGATGATACAGATTGGTATTTATTGATATGAAAAGATGATTATGTTTTAGTTTAAAATAAAAAAAACAGTACATATAGTATGTTTTCTTTTTTTTTGTAAAACAGTGTGTGTATACATAGGGGAAAAGGCATGAAAGTATATGCACACACTTAAAATATTAATGCACACACAAAATACTAATAGTGGTTATTTCTGAACTCTGGGAATTTTAATTCCTTCTTTATAAGTTTCTGCATTGTTGTACATTATTTTACAAGAAGCATGTATTATGTTTATAATCGATAAAAACAGTAATTTCCATTTGAAAATATTTGATAATGAATATACAAGTCATTTGTAGATAAACAATTACATAGAAACAGGTTATTCTCATTATTTTATGGGCAAATAGCCAACAAAAGTGTTAATAAAATTATATATTTATATTGTATTATGTATGAAACCAAAGATTTCTATATAAATAAAAACCAACTGAGAATAGAGTTAAACATTTTCTAACTGTTGGATCTGTGGTATGAGTGAATCCTATTTTTAAAAAGTAATTATTTCAATTTTACATAAATTAGGTATTTATCTCTCTAATCCCCAAATCGATTCGAACTGGCATATATTAAAAGAAAGGCAATCCAAAGAAAATATGAAAGCAAGTGTAATATGGATGGAAGGTAGATGGATATGGAGAAGAGGGAACTAAAAGTGAAACACAGAAAGTCCATAGTATAGAAATTACAGGCTAAATAATGTAATTGCAATATAGAACAGAACATTTTGTCGCAACTTTCAAGCAGCTAGACAAAAAGAAAACAAAAAGAAAACAATTAAGGGCTCTCACATGATAGATGGAGGCATGTGACTTAATCAAGAGAGATGACCTTTTCCTTAACTTTGAAACATCTGTGAATATTACCTTATTGATATATTCAACAATTTATAAGAGATAATGACAAGTTCAATAGAAGATGTTATTCAAAGTAGTTTTCCACATCATTACAGGATTGTTTACCTTCTATATTGACACAACAGAGGCTGAAGTTAATCCTAAAGTTATTTATAGACAAAGGCAATTCAGTGCTGTTATTCACCTTTCTTGTTGATTAAACATGATCCATGTATACCTACTAAGGAGTTTAGAAAAATGAGTGATAAGAATGCTCCTTAGGGCTTCCCTGGTGGCGCAGTGGTTGAGAGTCCGCCTGCTGATGCAGGGGACACGGGTTCATGCCCCAGTCCGGGAAGATCCCACGTGCCTCGGAGCGGCTGGGCCCGTGAGCCATGGCCGCTGAGCCTGCACGTCCGGAGCCTGTGCTCCACAACGGGAGAGGCCACAACAGTGAGAGGCCTGCATACCGCAAAAAAAAAAAAAAAGAATACTCCTTAGACTGTCTTCAAATATCAAAGCTTTCAGAAAAGGTTTTTAAGATGAAACTTAGAATTTAAATAATCAATGTTTAAAGTATTAATTTTCTAAGGTATTGATTGAGGAAATACCAATATGCTTCTTTCTCTGGGCATGAAGTTAATAACGAAAACTCTCAAAACTTAGTCAAAGTCACTATCAAGTCTGTGGTATGACCACAATATATTAAAAAGGAAAAAATATATAAATAAATAAAAGGAAGAAAGAAAGCTCACATCTTTTAAAAGGAATATTCATTTTAAATAATAATTTAAAGTGAACCTATACACAAATATTAACTGGATCATATACGCTTTCCCCTGCTCTACTGATTTCTCAAAAAGCAAGTTAGAAATTTTCACTGTGATAGACTCAGAAGTAAGGACCATCTCGAGAATACTTTCATAGGAGAAAATAAATTTAGTAGTATTAGTGAAATAAGGAAGGAAATATACTCCATTACCTCACTTGACTGGTTTAGCAAAAAAGCATGTGGAGGAATAAATTTTATTCTACATATTCCTAAGGCTATTATATCGAAAAATAGTACAAAATGACAGTTTTACAATTAGAAATTATGTTCTTCACTAAAATGAACAAGGTTTTCTAGTTTCACTTTTTTTCAAAAGAAAGTATTCACTTAAAAAAAGCTGTGAATTCACATAAAATAACCTCTTATCACAAAGTAGCCCAAACTAAGTAGGCACCAGCTTAAGGCTGAAACAAATTGAGCATTCTTATTCTCACCACCTGCGCCTGGCCTGGCCCAGCGTGACATGCAGAGGCTTGGAGCCCACTATGCGACCATTCATCTCATCTACTGCTTTGGTAGCCTCTTCAAAAGAGGAGAAGCAGACAACACCAAACCCTTTGCCTTGCCCCACTTCCACCATCACTTTGGCCCGGCTAATTGATCCAAAGGAAGAAAATTCCTCCTTCAGTTTTTCATCATCGATGGTCTCATCTAGGTTCTTAATATAGATAGGCACCCCTGGAGGCCGACTTTTTTCTTTTAATCTCAGCCGCTCAAATCTTCGCCTTAACTCAGCCAGGCGTTCAATTTTCTTCTGTGCTCGCCCTACATAGAGGACTTTCCCATCGATGGACTTTCCATGCAGGTCTAACACAGCCTTTTGGGCAGCCTCGTGTGTCTCGTATCTCACAAATCCAAAGCCTTTCGATTTCCCACTGGCATCTCTTATTACCTTAACACTCTCAGTTGGCCCGTATTCACTGAAAAGTTCCTTCAGTTTGTCGTCATCCATGTCATCTCCAAAGTTTTTAACGAAAACATTGGTGAAAGTCGCTCTATCCCTAGTTCTAACTTCAGCTGCCCGCTCTTCCGGAAATTTGAATCGGCCAACGTACACCTGGCGGTTGTTGAGCCGCACTCCATTCATGTGCCAGATGGCCCTATTGGCAGCGGCCAGGCTGTCAAAGTGCACATAGGCATAACCCTTAGAGCCGTTGTCATCGCATACTACCTTGCAGGAGAGAATGCTCCCAAAAGCAGAAAACAGATAAAAAAGGGCCCTATTGTCTATGGATTTGTCCAGGTTTTTGATGAATATATTTCCAACTCCAGACTTTCTTAAGCGGTCATCTGGCTGAGACCACATTAGGCGGAAAGGTTTGCCGTTAATCAAATCAAAATTCATGGTGTTCAAGGCCCACTCAGCATCCGCAGGAAAGCGGAAGTTAACATAACCATAGCCCAGGGGGCTGCGGGTCACCGGGTCACGGCAGATTCGGGTGAAGCGAAGAGGGCCAGCAGGCCTGAACTTTTTATATAACATGTCCTCGGTGACATCTGGGTCCAAGTCACCCACATACAGGGCAGCCTTGAGGTACTTCTTTTTCTTGCCAGCAGGATTAGGCTCCCCACTCCCCATCTCTCTGAGCACAGGGAGGAGGCTTTCTTGGGAGAGAAAAAGAGGTTGCTTTCTCTAAGCTATGGGCCAAGCAGCTGTTCACAAACAGAAAAAAAGCGAAGGCGAAGGAAGCTAAAAGCAGACTCAGAATCACTGTTGAGGCTGAGAAAATGAAGTTCAGAAACAGCTGGTCAGCAGGCTCAGAACAAATGCATCAGACAAAAAAGCACCCCAATAACGAATCCGTTCTCCCTAAGGTGGCTTAGAATTTCCACCCATTCAGATCTAAAATCAGTTTCAAAAGCCAGTAATAGGAAAGAAATGTCCCTTTCCCCGTTAAATTGTAAGAAATCATCAAGCAGCTGGCTGGCTCCCCACACCTAGCCTTGCCGACAGAGGCCTCACGACCCGTTTTCTGCATAAATATAGGCCTCAAGCTCGTGTGGGCTTAAAATGATATCAACAAGGGCAGGAGCCGAACATGTATTCCTCCGCCGGCTGCCTGGCCGGTCTCAGGCGGGCTCGCGCTCACTAAGGCCGCGCTGCACACACTCAGCGTCAGCGAAAGGGCAGACTGGACACTTGGTGCGCTGCGGCCGGGCAGGCAGCCTGCAGGCGGCGGATCGGACAGAGAGACAGACAGACAGACACACGCGCGGGGGACCGGAGACCGCCCAGATACCCAAGATGCCCACTGGGTACGGACCGAGTGACGCGCAGAGATTTCGGCAGCCTGAGACTCGCGGCAGGTCCGGAGGGACTGACTGGCAGACGCGCACTGGGTCAGCTCAGACGCGAGGAGGTTCCGGACAGATGCGGGGCGGAGTCAGGAAAGAAGGGCAGATGCGCGGCGGGCGGGCAGAGCGCAGACCGATGGACAGGGATTGCGCCCTGCAGGACACACCGACCCAGGGACTAAAAGCTTCTAGCTGTGGTAGGGCGAGCGGGCGGGGCGCAAGGAAACCCGGAACCGTGCTAAGTAACTTCCCGCTTGCTGTGTGCCAAGATGTTAAAAAAAAAAAAAAAAAAAAGAAAAAAGAAAAAAAGAGAAAAGAACGAACGAAAGAAAAAGATTTAAATGGTTTCTAGATTTTTCATTTCTTATTTTTGAAATTTTATTTATTATTTTAAAATATTACCTTTAGGCTACTGACCCCAAAATCAAAGGAGGTGAAGACCTAGGCGGAAGGGACTCTCATAATTTTTTTGTTTTTTTAAACAAATTCCCTAAATCGTTTCGAAATAGCATATAGGTTGCATACTTTCCTGAGTGCATTGGAAAGTCAGTTGACAGCTGTACTGGACTCCCAGTCCAGTGCTAAATGATCACAGGGTCAAATAAAACACAGGCCCATGTTGTAGTTGGCCTTTATTTTTACTCCGTTGAACTTCAACATAATGGTAGCATTATCCCCAGGTAATAGGCAGAGTTCTTTTCGCTGCTCCAGTAATACTAAGGTTTTAATGATTGGAGAGCCATAAAATGACTTTTAATGATACTTAGTGCCAGAAAACGTTGAAGATGTGCTGCCTCCATAATCACAAATTGCAAAATCTTAGTTAAAGAGTAAAAGCTGCAGAATCAATGCAAAATATATAATGTTTGAAGATGAAATAAACACGTTAAGATATAGGCACTTTACACAATTAATTGCTAATTTCAACTTGAATTGTCAACTTTAAACCATTGCAGGGAACAATGCTATAAGATTAGACACAGCTCAGAGGTTTCCCAAGATCTCTCTTTAGAGTTTGTGGTAAACTGTTTTGAAAAGGAATGTTACCCCGTCTTCGGAAAATCATCAGTGTCTGTAACACATAACTCAACCAGCCCCTTCCACAAGCCCTCCCCTCAAAAAGAAAATCCGAACAAAACATATGTCAGTACTGTTAGGCTGGAAAAGATCCTGGCAAAAAAGGAATGCAAGAGAAGGACATCACCCCAAAGGGTGTTGTCTTAAATTCTTAGAATAACAGGCTAGATTCATGTGTTGCTTTATTTTCTACAGTTTCTATTAGACGGTAGAGTTGACTAGACATGACAATTTGCCCTCATTATTTACTCAGTTATTTTGTAATTTTCTCCTCAAGGGTTCTTGCTTAGCTAAGACATGGAGACTATGTGAGAAAAAGCAAATACAAATTAAAAAATGTTATAGATAGACTAATAGAAACTGGTCTTAAAATATCACCACATTGACCAATATGTAGAAACACTTGTGAACATGTGCTTACTTTATTGTACTTTGAACATATACTTTATAAACATCTTTCCTCATAAACTTAATTGACAATGGGCCAGAACTTTTGTTTTTATTTTTCTGATATAAAAGTATTACTTTACTGAAAATGCTATATTAAAATAACAACATAAATCCAAAAGAATAATTACCACAATATTATCACTAAATCAAATTAATATTTTATTTATGTAACCACCTAAATGCTGTCCATATTCCAATTCATTTGTATATATTTTCTCTAATATTATAGATGGAATTGGGTTGTTAAAAATAATTATTTTCGGGAATTCTCTGGTGGCGTAGTGGTTAAGAACGCACCTGCCAATGCAGGGAACATGGGTTCGAGCCCTGGTCCGGGAAGATCCCACATGACATGGAGCAACTAGGCCCGTGTGCCATAACTACTGAGCCTGCATGCCACACCTACTGAAGCCCACGTGCCTAGAGCCTGTGCTCTGGGACAAGAGAAGCCACCACAATGAGAAGCCCACACACTGCAACGAAGAGTAGCCCCCACTCGCCGCAACTAGAGAAAGCCTGCATACCGTAACAAAGACCCAACTCAGCTAAAAGTGAATAAATTGGAAATACTTTTAATAATAAAAATTATTATTTTCAGAATAACCTCCACTCTACACTTGCCAGCCATTTTGGGGTCATTGCAGTATAAACATTCTAAACTATAGTGAACATTTTATCAGATCAAAACTCAGAAATTTAGAACTGCTGTGAAATAAATAAATTTTAGTGGAGTTCCCTCTGCTAAGCAGAAGTTTATGGGAAAAAGGGAAACATTTTCATCTATAATTTGTTTAATCATTTTAATATTTACATTGAGAATTGTCTCTGGGATAAAAATCAGATGTGGAACATTTCTCTGTCATTTTTATTATATATTCAAGGTAAGTTTATAGTCTATGTAAATCTGATGCATATATTAAATGCATTAAAAATCCCCACCCAGATTACTAAGGCAGTTGGTTGAAGCATATCTGAGTCTTTCTAAATCTGAGAAACATTTTGCATGAGGAAAGAATCCTGGACAACTGGTATTCTAAGTGCAACCTACCACACATTGTTATTTACAGTTGGTAGAAATTTGTCAGCATGAGAGGAAGAAGAGGACAGTTGGAAATTTATGTTTTTCAGCCTTGTCTTAACAGGCACTTGATCCTGTTTCCAATTAAAAGTCTGAGTTGTGCAAGATGCTGGGACTTCACAATGAAAGTAAATTTGCTACTCTCTTGAATGAAGTCTGGGATGGTTGAACAAAGTAAAATCTTTATTACCTAGAACTTGGCTCATGTTTTTCAGACAAAAAGAGGAAAATTGGCAAAAAAACAATTTGGCATTAAACATGTAGTAGTAATTTTTGGAGCCAGTAGCAATTCTTTGTCTCTATTTCCAAAATTTTATCCTGCTCCATGAGTATTTATGCTCTGGATGATAATCCTGAAGGCATTTTGATAAGATTTATTATCAAAGAAAGATTAAATTGTGTTTATTAGAATGTACTTACTGAAATGAGAAAGTAACCAAAAGTGGAAAAAATTTCAACAGAATATACAATGGAATGGGATTTATGCTAAATTGTCAATAAACAAGAATATCTCATTTTTCAACAGTTAACCAAAATTTCAGTATTTCAAACTATAAAACTATAGTTTAGATATTTATTCAAAGGCTGTAGCTATAATTCATACATTTATAACCCTAGGTGGTTTGATGGAAATTAAGAAAGATTCTTTTACAAAATTTTAACATTTTTTTTTCTTTTTTCATTTCTCTCATTAATTGAATCCCTGTTGAATTAAAAAGTCATGCATTCAACTGTGGATAAATCTGAGTATTAACATATAAAAATAATATAACAACTTCATCTATATTTAGGTTTAGTTAGGTGTCTCCTTAGGGTTCTCTTTTAATTAGATCCTATTAGTTTAAAATGAACCCATGGAATATTACAATGTAAATTTATGCAATTGCTATGCATTCAAAATCCTGTCTATTTAGAGTTTTACATATGATGTAGAGGCAAAGTATTTTATCTTATTATGCATTAAAATAGGGTAGGAGTATCACCCAATTGACAGATAGTCTCAGACAAATCTCTCCTTACTAGGGTTTGTTTACTGAACATATGCCTCATACAGGGAAAAAACACACACACACACACACACACACACACACACATACACACACACATACCACATTCTTTGATTAAAAATCCTGAGTTATAGTCATTTCACTTGACCTAGAACAATAAATAAAATAATAATTGTTTAAAAATGTATACTTTATTTTCATTTTTAATGGTGGGAAAATATACATCAAATTTACCATCTTAATGATTTTTAAGTGAACAATTCCGTGGTTTTAAGTACACTCACATTGTCATCACATTGTCATGCAAGCGACATCACTATGTCCAGAACTCTTCATCTTACCAAACTGAAACTCTGTACCCATTAATCTATACTTTTAGATGACACAAAATATGTTAAGCCATTTCTTTATTGTTGGACATTAAAGCTGCTTTTAGTTATTTTATTGTCACAACACACAATGCTATAATAAACGTCCTTATTCACATACTTTTATATATTATTACTCATTTCTATTAAGTAGATTCTCAGAAGTGGGTATCGTACACTTAGATGGTATGTGAATTATTAAATGTTAATATATGCTGTCAGAATTATGTCAAAAATGATGACACAATTTACTTATTTTACCAACAACATAAAACTTTAGAGGAAATGGCTAACTCCTAGCAAAATAGGAATTACCAAATTTGATCCAAAGGAAAAGTGGAAGAATTGCCATATAACAGATTAGAGAAAGATTACACATATGCTATTTAAAAACAAAAAACAGGCACAGGTGATTTTATAGTTGAGTAGTATTATATAATCTTTAAGAAAATACATGTAGTGTTAATGCTATTCATACTATTCTCAACCATAAAAAGCTCCTTAAATCACTTTTATAAAATTGTCTCCAAGAGAAACTTCTCATAAGCCTAGCTAATGTTTTCAAACCAGAATAAAGCTATAGATTGATGGTCAGTCCATTTGCTGATAGAGCTTGGATATATATTGTCTCAGTTGTGTGTATGTTTGGGTGTAGGCAGATTGCAGGAGCATGGTTAAGTGTTACATAATACGGATTTAGAAGGGAATATGTGATGGGAAGAAAATTAAAGACTTCCATTTTAAAATGTCAAAACAAAATAAAACATATTCCAGATACTGATCATGATATCTTGCACTTTTTTCCTTTCCTTCTGGAAAAACTGTTCAGAAAAAGTAAAACGTGGAGAACAGTTCTTCACAGATAAGGAAAACTGAATATTTAAATAAACAGATGATTGAGGAAAATACTCTGCTTATCTTTCCTAACCTAAAAGTTCAAATGCAAAATAATACATTATTGTTTAATCTTTATCAATGGGAGGATCATAAAAGAAAGATCAAAGTCTTTCTTTTAAAAGACTTCCCATCCCCAAATCCCTGTGTTTTGGCTATAGACACACTAAGTACTCATATAATCCCTGTGAAAGCTATCGGGACTCCTTCTGTATACTGCTTGTTCATCCATATTCATCTTCATAATAGGTAACAGGAACTGTAT